ATATATATATATATATATATATATATATATATATAAACACATTTTCTTGATCCATTCTTTTACTGAGGGTCATCTGGGTTGGTTCCATATCTTAGCTACAGTAAATAATGCTGCAATAAACATAGTTGTGCTGGTAGCTTTAGTATAGTCTTGTTTGTTGGTCTGCCTGAGAGTACACCAGAGGTGTGCCACCCAGGGGAGTGTGAATCCACTCTCATGGCTCCTCCTCTTGAGTTAAAACTGCAGAAATCATTGTAACACCTGCAAACAACCAAAGGGAAATGGGCTCAAAAATAGACTACCTCCTCAGGGAAACTTCATCCAGGGCTTTTTGGAACTGTAAAAATATTGCCCAATGGCTGTCTGTAAATGTAATAACTTTTTGGGGCGTCCTGTCTTTTAGTAGGGCAAATAAGGGCACAAGACTATCTTTAGGAACGGGAACCCATGGCAACAGCCAATTGATTTCCCCTAAAAGACTTTGAAGTTGGGTTAGGGTCAGAGAGGCTGGAATATCCAGCAAAGGCTTAAGGGGGCTGGACTGAGTTAGGGTAAGGTGGGATCTGAGCACCTTAAAAGGAGGTACCTTTTGCATTTTATTGAAGGCTATGGTAAAAGCTCCCCTTTTTTTTAATATGGTGAGCACCTGGGCCAGAAGGCCCTCCAGGGGGCCCAGGTCTTGGTGCCCCAGGATTATATCATCCATGTAGGCATAGGCAAGAGAGGTATCTGAACCCAGCACAGGCTCTAAAAGTATCCCCAAGTATTGCTGGCAAAAGGCCGGGCTATTGGCCATTCCCTGTGGCAGCACTGTCCATTTGAACTTCCAGGTTGGGAAATATTAAGAGAAGGGATGGAAAAGGCAAATGTCTCACAGTCATCCTGATGCAGTGGGATAGAGGAAGAGAAAATCTTTATTATCAATCACAACCAAGGTATATTCTGAAGGTATAGCGGGAGTCCAGGGCATGCCTCTTAGCAGCGTTCCTACTAGCTCCATCCTTTCATTTACCTTACTTAGATCTTGGAGCATGCGCCAGGCCCCAGGTGCTTTGTGGATAACAAATATGGGTGTGTTCCAAGGACTCATACAAGGGCGTATGTGCCCATGATATATCTGTTCCTCCACCAAAAGATGGAGGGCTACAAGTTTAGGTTTGGTCAAATGGCCACTGCTCCATCCAAATAGGGTTTCCCAGTTTCCACCTAATGGGAGGTACTGGGGGGGCGGCAGTGGTCTTTAGGATTGAGGGTGCACCCGAGAGGGTCCCTTATGTTCCTCTCCGTAATTATGAAAGTTAAAAAAAATCCTTTTCCTTAACTCTCTGTAGATCCTGTTTAAGCATTTGTGCTCTTTGTCCATCCAGAATATTGTCATAGAATGCTCAATGGTTCATAGTGACCACAGCATCCATTTGTCCTAGCATGTCTTGCCTAGTAAATTGGCTGTGAGGTTCTTTGCCACTAAAGGGCGAATCTTTCCCTGCTCTCCATCTGGGCTAGTCCATTTCATAAGGGTGACTGTCTCTTTGTACTAGGAGTTGCCCCCTACCCCCAATATCGGGGGCCCAGGTGCAAGCTTCCAGTCTGAGGGCACTTCCTCCTCCCTGAGTATGGTTCGCTCTGCCCCTGTGTCAATTAGGCAGTGAAACCACTTCCTGCCTATGAAAATACTCATTTTAGGGCAGAGTACTTCCACCAGGGAGATGGTCCAATGGGCCTGGGTCGTCCTCCCATGAGACTGCCTGGGCCTTACAGCAGAGGGTGTTCCTCCTTGAGTTAACAGGGCTGGAGGATGCCTGTCCCCTAGTTTAAAGGCTTTCCAACTAAATCAAACTTGGATCGACAATCCTTTTTCCAATGGTACCCCTTCCTGCACCTGGGGCAGGGTGTAGGGGGTGGTTTGGCCCCCCAGGCCGGTTGGCAGGGGATTATTGTGAACAGTCCCTCTTAAAGTGGCCCTCCTGTCTGCATTTAAAACAAATCCATCTCCCTGAAGGCCTTGGGGTCCATTGGCCCTGGGCTGCCAGAGCCTAGGTGATAGCCTCAGTCATTGCAGATGTCTGAGCTTGTAAAGCTAAAGCTAGTGATTGGGAAACCAGTAGCTTTACAAACTGATCCCGGAGGTCCATTGCAGTTTGCAGTGAACACTCTGTTGGACTCAGTCTATAAAACCAGGTAGAGGTTCAACCAATTTTTGTCTCACTCCTGATATGGAGGACTCAGTGGACCCATCATCCACTTTGTACCACGCAGCAAGTCCTGCCTGCCTCACCTGGTCATGGAACGGGCCAGGTATTTCAGCCTGTTGGATGGCAGTGGAGTACCTTTCCCCTGTCCCTGTTAACATGGCATAACTAATAGGTATTGCGGGTTGAGCCTGCTGGTTATTTTCTGCCCACACTCTGCATTCCTCCTTAAAGAAGGCACACCATTTAATAAACTGAGAACTGGTGAGGACGGCTTTGGCCACATCCAGCCAGTCCTTAGGGACACACGGGTGATAAGCAATGTCCTGTAATAGGGTCTAGGCCCAAGGAGAGTTCAGGCCATCTTCTGCCACAGCCTTGCAGAGCTCTTTAAGATTCTTAGCTTCCCATCGATACCATTCCAAGGGTCTGTTAGCTCCTGGTACCAGATTGACAGGATATGCTTGGGGAAACGAATCCTGTAGCCCAGGGTCCGGGCTCCTGGATGGCCCTTCTTTCCAGGGTAGGCCTTCGAGTAGGTTACTTCCCCAGCTCTTGGCCCCTCCATGGAAGGTCGGTAGGGGTCCAGGTCTTGCAGGTCCCTGTATAGGGCCTCCATAGGGCGCTGTACCTCCCCCCCTAATCGGGGGCATATGGTGGGACCTTACAACTGTCAGGGGCAATGGAGTCCGGGGGGGGGTAACCTTCACCCTTGTTTTAACCTCCCCTGTGCGTGCTTCAGTCTGATCAGCATGCTCTTTGTCAAATTTAACCCATTCTTTTTCCTCCTCACTTCCCAAGTCCTCCTTCTGCGAGATAGCATTACCCATACTAAGGGTTTCACTTACCCTGAGAGACGACTTAGCCTCGGCTGGCTTATTTTCCTTTCGTCCCCCTCCCCACGTTGGGCGCCAGATGTTAGGTCTTCGTCCATCCTGCGGAAGACAGATGGGGTCTGAGGAAAGGTAATTGCACTGTTGGCCCATTCCCCAGCCTTCCTTAGCCTCAGAGACAGTCAGACGCAGAAGGGAAGCAGAAGGGAGTCAAGTCAAGTAGGAACTCGTTTATTACCACACAGAAAGCACTTTTTAAAGTAAAAAACCACATGGCATGGAAGCTCGGGAGGAAAAGGAACCAAGCAATCACTGTAGAGGTCACCTTATCATGTGCCTAAGCTTTCTATACTTTCCCTGCTGCCCATGAGCTGTTCATGCACTGACGTCACTTCACCTGATTGTGGTATCCAGTCAGATTTTAACATAAACAACTCGGGCTCTGCCCACTCAACTCCCTCTCAGCGCCATTTTGCTGCCCATGTGCCCTACATCTCTCCCTCTTGTAGACTGCTTATAGTTTATCAGTACTTTGTCAAACTTTCAAACACCCATTTTCACACTAATATAAGCTGTCTCTACAGCTAATATGGGTGAAAAGCAATTCCTATATTCCAGGGCTCCAGAACATAGAAGCAAACCACAATAGTTTTGCATGCAGTTGTAAAATAGAAAGATCACAGCTTATGTGCATTTTCACAAATGCCTAATGGTGGAACACCTACCCAGGTTAAGCACAGTAATGTCACAACTTCTGTATCACCAGGAGCACTTAGAGCTCTCTAGGAGGGAAGTGACCTTTGGGTGAACTTCAGTGGCTGTACCAGCATCAGCACAGCATCCAGAATCTACCCTGCATGGTGCCCAACCATATGAGGGCTCCGTATTTCACAATGGGCAAGACATGTTATTCCCCACTGCTGGAGGTGAGAGGGAGATTGGCATCAACACTTCTTCATATGGGTAGAGGTGGGGTAGGAGCTGATACTTGTTGCCTTAGATGGGGATGGGGCTTGGGGATGGCACTTTTCCCTAAGGCTGGGTGCTGACACCAATCTCCTTGAGTGGTGAGGTTGATGCTTGTCCCCATGGGTTTGGGTATAGCTGACATTCTTCTCCATGGGTGAATGTGGGGGAGCTGACATTAAATCGTAGGTGGACATGGGTGCTTTTGCTCGTTCCCATTTGGTGGGAGAAAAAAATGACAATCTTCCTGTGAGTAAGGGTGGACCTAATGCTATTCCCCAGAGGTAGGAGTGGAACTGGGGCTGATAGCCCTCTGTGAGTGTAAACTGATGTTGCTCCTGCTTGGAAAAGGAAGACGTGTGATACCTTGTGCTTGGGCACAAGGTCATCATCCTCTGTTGCTGTCCCTTCTGCAGTGGCCCCCAACTACTCACCCTCTTCACCATCTTATCTGTGTTTCGTATACTATCCCTCTTCCAGTGGGCCAATGGGTTGAGATGGGGCTGATGCCCCTATCCATAGTGGAGGTGTTGATGCTTATCCTCAATGACTGGGTGGGGGCTGAGGTTCCTCTCAGGAGATGGAGGTTGGGGAAATTGAAGGTTCTCTCCAAGGATGAGGTAACCATGCTTCTACCCAAGGGTTGGGTGGGGCTGACAATCCTTCCCCTGGTGATGAGCAGCTGAAGCTCCTCACCATGTATTGGGTGGAGGTGATTCTCTTTCCTGTGGGTGGGAATAGGGATTGATGTTTATCCTTCACCATAAATGGGGGTGGAGGTGTTACTTCCCCTGGATGTAGGAGGCTGAAGCTCCTCCCCCTTCACGTAACAGATCTAGGCTCCGCCCCTGGACGTCAGTGGGCTGACGCTCCTCTCCCTGCACGTAAGGGAGCTAAGCTCCTCCCTCTTCCACGCACAACGGTTGACGCAACTCCCCTTTGTGCGTTTGCGCAGCCTCAGAACGTATCACGTGAGCGCTGCCCCTCCTGCCATTGTGCTGAGCGGTCATAACTGCCGGCCCTCAAATGGGTCTCGGCAGTTTCCTACGCTCTTTCCTTCCAGCAGGATCCTGGGAAATGCCGAGCTTACCCATGCCCCCGGAATTAATGGAGAACATCCCTCTCGTTGTTTTCATCATCATCCTTCGCCTGGTCCTCTTCGTATTCTTCCTCACCACCTGGACCCGTCTCCTGAGGGCTGAGGCCCAGCTGCCATGTCAGCCGCCCACTCAGGCAAGTCGGCCACGGGTAGCGGTAGCCAGGGCATTCACCCGGGCCCGGATATCCACAGTCCAGCTCCGGGTCCGCAGATGCGCAAACCCATCCTGTGGCATCTGCGGTGGGTGGCCGCCATCTTAATGGCCACCGCGGCCCCCACCCACCGAGACATTCAAGCTTGGGCCGCCACCGAGGGTGCAGGGGTGCCAGGGGTCCCTGAAGACCAAGAGAGGCTTGTCCGCGAGGGAGACTACTAAGACAACATGGCAGACAAGGACCATGGCGGCCACAACCATGGGGAGGTTGAGGAGGTTGATGGGGAGGATATTTGACAGAGAAGGAGCAGGATGGAAACGAGGAGGGAGTGGAGGACGATGACCAGGAATAGGAGGAGGAGGAGGAGGAGGACAGTGACAAAGGAGTCAGCTGGGAGGAAGGTGAGGAAGGGAAGGGGTCCTTGTGATGTTTGGGTCCCTGGGTCTTGTTCCCTCCTTCTACTTGGTACATGTTAGATTTAAAAACCTTGCTTACCTGGGCCGGCCTGACTGCACACTCAGGAATCCTCAGCACAGGCTGAGGTAGAGGAGGGTGAGGATTGAGTTGATGGCTCCACTGTTCGGAGCAGGGACCTGTGTGCCTGACAAGGTCATGCTGACAAGGGCAGCGCATTCATCTGACCCTTGCAACTTCTGCTGACATAACAGGCTCACCTTCAGGCCGTGCTCAGAGCTTACCTGACCTGATTAACAAATGGATCTCCATTCTCAGAAAATACATGCCCCAATGTGCCCAGACAGAAGCCCCATCCCAAAATGACCCTTCACAAGTATGCCACCTTCTACAAACCTCTGTTTAAAGCAGATCTCACAAAACAGTGCAGTGTTTGCGGTCACGGAGATTTCCATAGATTTCCATTCTTTGCTTTCACCTGAAAGGACAGCCCAGGCTATATTAACTGGGGATAACTTGGTATCTTTTCTCCTGGTCCCTGATTAATTGTCTTTATTCACTAAAAAGAAAGGGAGCTTGACCATGAAGAAACTGAAGAAGCTTCAGGCAAAGAGGAAAAAAAGGAAGAAGATGAAAATTGCCAACAGGAAGAAACACCAGAACTGATCTGGTGTCAGCAGAAGGTGGCCTCTAGCAGGATTCTAAGGTACTGCTTTATAACTTTCAGCATTACCTAACCATTCCTCTCATATACCTTTACTGACAGCTTTATGCTTTGAAATTTTCTGTGTTAACTCAATGCAAGTTGAAACTCTTGACTTTATAAACCCAAATTCATAATGTACTCATATAGAGCATAAACTGAAGTCACATATTCTCAAATGGATTTTCCAGAGCAAGTGGTGGAGGCCAGTGTGGAAAGGTCACCAGGAGAAGCTGGACCTCCATTGCTCAGGCACAGAAATATTTTTTATTTTATTTTTTGTCAATGGCCTGAACTCTGGGCCTGGACACTGTCCCTCAGCTCTTCAGCTCCAGACTAGTGCTCTACCACTTGAGCCATGGTGCCACTTCCAGCTTTTTCTGCTTATGTGGTGCTGAGGAATCGAACCCAGAGCCTCATGCATGCAAGGCAAGCACTCTACCACTGAGCCACCTTCCTAGTCACAGTAATATAGTTTTTTGTATGGACAATGCCTTTGAGAGAGTTGATTTTTGGCAGTGTGGTCAAATGTTAAGGATATCAAGTGAGTCTATACTTTATGGCCAACATACAAATATTAAGAATAGCTTTTTTATTACATAGAATGTTCAAACAAATTTTGCTGTTTATTGCTGAATTGCAAATTGTCTTCTATTCTTTACTCCTCTCTCTATCTCTTTTTTTTTCTTAATTTTAACATCAGCAAACATGTGAGTTTTGTTTCAAGATATGAAAACCAGAATTTCAGGGAATATTTACGGTCCGTGCAAAAAACACAGTCAGAGAATCCTCTCTAAAATAAATCATGGGAATTGACAGTAGTAAACAAGAGCACACAAGGGTGATTTGATCAGATCATCAACACCAGCAAATTCCTAGGATATCTAAGCTGTGCCACAAGAGGAAAAGTTTAGTTTTGCCTTATTGAGATAACATATATGGAGATTCTTAGATTCAGTAAGTCTGTAGAGCATGTGTATGGCTTACAAATGTTTTCTCTTACTTTATCTTAGTTTCCAGACAGAGAAGAATTGGATGGAGAAACGAAGAAGTCTTTATTGTTCATTACTTTTCTACATTTAAACTATACCACAAAGGAATTTTTTGTTCTCCAAAGTTCATCCCATAAAAATGACAGTTGACTTTATGGTGACCTTTTGCATATGTGACTTCATTTATTCATGTTAAAATAAAAGCCTGTTTGAAATGCATAAGCTGCATTATTTTTTTTGTCAACACTGAATCAAGTCTGTCTTTTTTCTATTCTCTTGATCTATTTGTGTCACTGTGCCATTAAGATGAAATTTTTTCCATGCTACTCTTATCTAGGTTTGCATTACCTTATTATGTACCCTAACTAAATTATAAGGTGATAAAAATTTGTATTAAGTATGAGGTTAATTCTATCCTCTTGTTTATTTATTTGGAAGAGATAAATGAATGACCTAG